ATATTGGGCACCTAATCTTTAAAACTTGAAAGCCATCATATCACCTTTACAGACTGTCTTAAAACTCAACAAAAATTTAATGACAATTTTTTTAACAGAAATAACAGTGGGTAATGACTAATGAAACATTATATATTTTATATCTATTAGAACTCAGTATGGTCTCTAAATAACTCATCAAAACACACAATGTAATGTCAACTTGCAGAATTTTTTACCCATTCAAAAGACATTAAGAAAGAAGTTTGAGGCAATATTTCGAAACTTGAAAGCATTTTCAAACAGTGACACAGTCTATTCTCTACTCTCGTGGGATTGCTGCACTATGACAGACTACGACACACGGGTTAACATGCATCCTTCAAGCAATTCTCTACTGTACAATTTTCCCAGCAACATTCTCGATATCTCCACCACGCAATACTCTACCAGTGTCAACTACAGGATAACGTGAAATATCAATTCCATTAGGATAAATTATTCAACAGTTGACAAGTTTTATTATTCGTTCATTAAACCACCAAGTGCATTAACAGCAATTCTATAATTCCATCAGCTTTTCCATGATCATCCATATTTATGACCTGAGTTCACACTTACAAAGAAACTCTGCAAACCTCTAGCATCACAGACTATGTAAAAATGCAAAAATGCTTGGAAAGTTTCAAATCTGGACTCTTTTCCTCCCTCAACCCCCTCCCCGACTATGATTTTGGTTAATCAATCTAATGGAACGACAAGTAATCACCTGCAATAACACTGCATCATTTTGTAATAACTTTTATGAGTGTATAGTTTGGAACACTTTATTTTTGATGACATCACAATTATGATTCAATAATCAAGTTTGATTTGCTTAACAAATTATTCAAATGGAAAAAAATGACAATTATATGTTTCATTAAACAGAAAATGGTGATCAAAATAATGGACTCATTTAATTAATTAATCCTTATTGATATTATGTCAATCTTGAGGCTTGAAAATTCATAAATTTTAATCATTATAGTTCATAAATAAAAGTGTCAGCTTGAATATGAAGTTTTCAGAGAACATGTACACATAGACTATCATTTTTATACTGTAAACAGAAAATCTGAGCAAAAGATACAAAGAAATTTAGTGCTCATACATCTGAATACTCTCCCCCATGATGATGATCCCTCAACCCCTATCCACCAAATACAATGACACATGTTTGGAAGTTTAAATGGTCTAATGATTTTTTTCATAAAATTTATTATAACAGTAACATTATATTGTTCCCATAATCTAAACAGTCAATTTTCCATAGATTGCCTGTTATTTAACACACATGAAAAATGTATGTAACAAAAATAAAATGTTCAAGAACAAAATATTAAGGTGCTATTTTAAGGAGGGTTTTCACCATCCATCATTTTGTACAAGCGCCATTCACTTTTAAGAAAATACAATTTAACATAATTTCTTTTAAGTTTTATACAGACATTTTGGAAGTATTCTTTTTTAAAATTGTCAGACACAAAAATGTTTGCTATCTTCCATTACAACCTACATTTATGTATAACTACTGAACTGTGTACCAACAATCCCTTAAATCATTAACATTAAAACTATAGTCAGGTTTATTCAAAATAAAGCATATTTAAAACATCAAAATAACCAAGAATTTCTATTACTTCTTCCACAAAAAAATGGACAATCGCATATTCACTGATCTTTTTAATTTTCAGCTATATTCAAAAAATACTATTTAAGAAGTCAAGGAGATAAATTAATACACCAGCATGAGTAAGGTAACAAAACATGCCATATCAATGTAGGCAGTCTATAACATACCTAAAATACATAGCAATCATTACATCAAACAGGAATCTCCCTCAAATACAAACAACTTCTTTAATTTCTATCCATTTTATTAAATTTGCATTGATAAAGTTGCTGATGCAGCCATTTTAATGCATTTTTATTTCTTAAATAAAAAAAATCAACTAGAAGATAAATTTATGACTTAAGTTCAATCAATAACAAAATTTATTATCCATATGATATATTAATAAATAACAAATCTGATGATTAATATATATCCTTATCAATAGAAACACACTTTCATCTATATTCATTTAATATTCTTTGTTAACTATTTAATTAAGCGACTATTTAATTAAATTAATAGACCTGTAACAGAAATTTCAATAGAATTATACAGACAAAATTTGACCTATCAATCATGTGAAAAATAATTATCAAAATATAATAATCATTTAATTTACTTCAACATTTTCAAAGTTTTACAATAACAAATTTTTCACAATTGATGCATCACTGTACTTTTATGCTATTCTAACCTATAATTACTCCTGCCAAATAAAAACAACAAAACAAAAGAAGTGCAATGAAGAACATGCATAATAAATGACAAGAATGCATAAGATTGCATAATTATAATGTGCAGACAATACCTGACGAAGTGTTACCATTCCATGAACACAAAAAATACCATCCATAAATATTTTCACTACTGACTTTATTAACATTCATAGTCAATTAGCAAAACTGGAAATCTCACAAAATGGGGCATACCACTGGGGTTACTATTTCTAAACAAATAAACAGTTAACTAGATTCATTTGACATCAGTTACATATCTTGTAGGAGCCAAAGATGTTTATCATAACATGCAGCAAGAATGATCCGAATCTAGTACCAAATTTGATAAACATCTACAAACTTGTAGAATGAACAAGTGACATTGCCAACAGGGTGTAGGCTGTCAAAATCTGTTACAATATTTCATATAGGGAAATCACCATCATTTTTCTTCTTCTAAATTAATATACTAAATACTTGTAGAATATTTATTGAATTAAGCAATTAAAATAAAGTACAAGCTAATTTCCTGAAACTGTTCTACTTTTTTTTCTGAAGGAAAACCTGGTCTATGAGATGTTATTTCTTGTTGGTAAAGTTGATACAGGTAAGACAATACTGTTCAAACTTTGTTAAAACATTCTTTCAACTCTATAAAAATCACCAAACAAAACTAGAATAAATATTCAACATTTCAGACCTACTCTCTTGGTGATTGTAAAGATGCTGTAACCACCAAAATAATGAAAGCCATGCAAACATTTAGCAGTTATGACCTTTTTTAATTACTGTGATTCTAAATTGTTTAGCATGACAAAAAAAGCATCACATAATTTACAGAACAAACCTACCAAGAAAATGTGCGCTAATCATGCAGTTCAAAGAAATTGGACTACAATACATCAAATATAATTGTTGGTGAAAATTGATTATTTTCTCTAGATATTACTTCACATTTACAGTTGTAATTCATAAATAAATTTGATACATCAATTTTAATATTGTCTTTTATTTGTTAAGAAAACATTTTGTTTCATTTTGAAGAGAAATGAAATTGATTTCTTCATAATACATGTAATAATTTTTGTAGATGACAGCTAGGTAAAAAGAAATCCAGATATTTAATGTTGAAAATGCAATCAAAGCCTTTACCTATTTGTTACCTAGTTATGATACCTAGTTATGATCGCATAATTCTGTAAGTTATTGGACTTCATAATTTCCTCACAAGATAAAATTAATTCAACGATCTAACATAATTCCTTCACAAAAAAGAATTGAGGAATAAATGATTTAAAGTCAAGGCCTTGTGGGCACTTTGAACTTCACATTTTCCACAAAAGGTTCCACTTAATTCAGAAATTACTTTCCTATGATATTTAACATATTAAAATCACTTTTAAAATACTCATTGACAATTTTGTTTATAATGAGGAATATAGAGCTACAGTAGTTACAATTATTCATGAATTTTTGTAGAGGTTTTTTAACGACCCATGTATTAGCTAGGAATTTACTCTTCACCCATGGGGGAAAACAGATGCTGAAAACTCTCTTTAAATTGATGACACTCATTTCAATTAAACCCCATATCTTCTAATTAACTTAGGCTTGATCAGTTAGTTAATCATACAAACTGATGTACAAAGTTGATATAAATCTACCTAAACAAACCATGTGAAACCATCAGTTTGATGAAAATCTGTGGAGTAAATTTGAGACAAATCTATCCAGTAATCAGATCAGTAAATAAGACAAGGAGTAAGTGACACTCGAGAGATAAGTATTTCAAACTGTTCATACTGGACACATTACTGTGTTACTGTAGTAATTGACATGTGATGATGAGATATTATCTTGTATTTATCTCATTCACTGATGATATACAAATTAACAGGGGATATAAGAGAGAAAACATTGAAGAGTTATAATGTAGTAGGGAAATAAGCGGGAGATTTACTATTGATTAACGTAAATATTTAGGCTATATTGAATAACTGTCAACTGATATGTCAGAACTAGGTAGTTTTAATGCTAAATCAATGATAATAGACACGCGGTAATATGGTCGATACTTTAAGAGCCATCAGTCCATCAACAGTACATTGATTAACCTACCACAAACCACTAAATACACTCCCCCCTACTGTCTGTCTGTACCTTTAATGTTTACAGCTGTAATTATTACCACATCCTGAATGTGTTTTACAAATGACATAAATAACTCTTCAAACAACATTAAATATCTCTTAATTTGAAATCATGCATTTACTACATAAATTTTGTATATTTTTGTATCTCCTGAAAACAGTAATTTGTTAAGTTTTTTATATTTTCTATAGTCAACAGTATTTCAGTTGTTGTGTACTAGATGACACCAACCTCATTGTATATTGGATATTACCAGTGCTGAAAAGTTTAAATTAATATAATTCCTGGACAAAATAATTAGTGCCAAGTCGAGAAGCAGCTTAGTAACCCACAAACAGCTTTGTAGATAGTGTTACACTCTAATGCAGTAGTCAAGGATTTATTTATATTTATATTTTCAAAGACAAAAAATAAAGATATATAATACAATTGTAAAGTAATAAAACTTCGGATAAACTTTCCTTGATTTGACAAATTCAAATAAAAGCATAAATTACCTTGATTTATACTTCAATCAGCTACATGTATACCACAACGTCCAATTTGGTCTGAAAGTAAATAATTCCAAATTTTAGGAAATAATTTCCATATAGTTTACAAAATGACTAACTAATACTGTATCAGTGAGATAAAATCTTGGCATTTTTAAAACTGCTGACATTTTTTTGCAATAACTTCAATAATTTATCTTACATAGAAGAGTAAAGATTACAATCTAGATACACTGTGACATCTTTTTTCCTAATCATTTCATCATACCAATGTATCTAACATCACATATAAAACATATTGTTTTTATCACTAAAACAAAACTGTACAACACAAACATGAACATTTATATTTCAAATTTAAAATTTTTAAATCCTCATAAAAAAAATCAAATTACAAGTTTTGATATCCGGGTCTAACAAATTTTAGATTTTATAAAATGTCCAAGTAATGTGATTGACCGTACATTAAAACAATACTATTATCTATGGTGAACATCTCTGTTATAGCACAGAGCTAGCCAAATGAAACATTGGTCAATGTCATGTATTGAACAAGAAATGTATGTGTAAATATATGTAACAATTCATACAGCAATAAAAATAACAAATACAAAGATTTTAGACATCACAATAACAACAACAACAAGATCCAAATTAAAACTGTTGTCAGTTAAGATTTAAGCATTTTCATGTTTAAATCAGAGTCTCTCTACAGTAATAGAAAGAAATCTATTTGAAAGATTTTTTTTTTAAATTTACAGCAATGATGTGGATAGTAAATAATTTAAAACCACTTCGTTGAGAAAAAAACAACAACATTAGAACCACACGTTTGAATAAGACAAATGTTCAAATCAATACAATATACTTAGACATTTAAAATTCTTTTGCGGAAAAAAACTACATTCCCATTTTAAAATTTTGTTAGCTGTTTTTGAATTTATCCTTTTATTTTGATGTACCTTCTCAAATAACTATGCATGTTTCAATATAAAATTCCTTCACATAAACCATAAATTATACAACATGCCTATTAAGAAATAATTCTTAATATAATGTTTTATAAAATAAAAGTTCTATTCCAACCTTTATTAAAACATTTATTAATTTTATAATTTCACTCATATGCATCCAAATATCCTCATGTATTTAACACAAGTCTTTGAAGTACACTAGTTGAAAAGATATTCTGTATTTCTGACACTTGACTTGTTATCATAGATTATGTACACCCTATGGTCAACATGAATATTAAGTAGTTTCAGATGAACATATCACATTTACATGTTACATAATTCCGATGATAACAGTGCTATCATTCATATATATATTAAATACTGTATACTTCCAGACTTCCTGCCATGTGATATGGCTTATAACTGACCAGCAAGTCCAAATACCTCCATTGGCTGCTAGCAGTTCTATGTGAATAGATATTTATCAAATAAGCTGAGCTATAAAGCCTGGAACCATTTCAATGGCCAACAAACCAAAGTGTTTAATGCTTTATGACATAATACTTTGTACATAAATTCCCAAACAAAAGTTAATGTTCAAATAAACATAACTTTCATTGTTACTGATAATCGAATATTGTTCACTCAATACAGCAGAACTTCCTTCCTTTTCATTTTTGTATCCATTAAATTACCTCTTGTCAAAAAGTTAATTAAATTTTAATTGTTTGAAATGTGAGAACATTGAAAAGGTACATTAATCCAATACTGCTACTGTCAACTGCAATCATTTCAATTTAAAAGGGAGAGAAAAAAAAGTGAAAACAACAATGTTCAAAACGTACAATCTGATGTTAAAATGTACATTTTAGTTCATACAGATGATGAGATTGTTCATGTCTACAAAAACATTGAAGTAAAATGTTTCAGTGGTACACAATAATATACAGATGGTAGTGTTTCATCATAGTACTTTAATATCATTTATAGCAATTAGTAAAATTTTATAAAATCATGGCAATATTTAATGTATTCAATGACAATATGTTTTGTAAAAACCATAGAGATATTATTAGAATATTATTATGTGTTAGCAAGCATGTAACTATCTCATCTGCTTGTTGAATTACAACTCTACAAAAATCTTACACTTGGGCAAGAGGAAGTTTTTAAAGTCATATATACAAAGTACTAACGCAATTGGGCAAAATGGTAGAACCCAGGCTTTCTCACATTTGTGAACTAACTGGATAGATTTCTCACATGAAAGAATCTTTTAAGTCTCTGATGGGATTCGAACCAACAGCAGTGAGAAGTGATTAAAACCAATAATCTAACCACCTGACCAAATAGGCACCACTGAGCTGAAAGAATTATAAGTTATAACACTTTATAAAACAAAGTCTATCAATATGCCATATCATAATCATGTGACCTGTTCTGTTTGGCTTTGGAGAAAAGTTGAAAGAATCAATGAAATAAACAATCAATTTACAATGTTTAGTAAGGGAAACAGTCACAAATTAATTACTAAGAGTCCATAATTTTCATTGGCTAAATTTCCTTGATCTTATACAACAAAACAACCAAAGCAATTAGAAAACTAAATTATGTCCACTTTCATCCCTGGAATTCCACTGACCAGTGTTAATTAGGTATAACAGAAAGTGTATCAATAATCCTGCACTCATTAGCGGGTCAGTTGGAGTCCAATTTGCAGTCATTAATGATAAAAGAAAATAAATAACTGTATAATTGTAGAGATAAATGGGCACCTGTTATTATCTACAATAATGAAAAGCCTCTCTAAGCATTGACAGCTACAACGGCAAATGAGGGTAAAAAATTACTAAAGCTTTGTAAATTATGTTTTCCCAAATATATTAACAACGAATATCACTACAAATCTAAGTACAGCTGTATTTTTGAATGTTAACATTATGGCTATATTTTCAAGATTTGTATTTAAAATTACTGAAACAAAGGATACTTAATACAAACATTATGGCTATATTTTCAAGAATTTTTTTTTTTTAATTACTGAAACAAGGATACTTACAATAATTGTTAACTCTATGAACTTTTAAAACAAGGAAAATACATTTTACACAGTGTCCTTTTTAAAACTTTTTTCTGCTCAAAAAAACATAAATTTTAATTGGTGATTTGAATTTATCAGAAAAAGAAGCAAGAATATCTATTAAAATTTGTAAAATGTAGACTATTTCTTAAATATATTATTTGACTCACCGTGTTAATATATTAATATGCATCTAAATTATCCAGGTATTTTCACAAATCATTAACTTTAAATCATGTTAAATTGCTTTAAACTAATTTCTTTAACGTCTAGTCACCAAAATGTTACAATTTAACTCCTCTCAGCTCCGGTTCTTTTACAATAAAAATCTTCCCTCTAAAACAGTTGTCATGAATTTTTACACAAAAAAACTAAATGGCAGAAAATGAAAACACTTTTCCCCAGTTTTGATTCCTATCTTGTAGTCATGTTTTGGCAAAGTTTACGTTGTCCTAAAACAATGAGCATTAAACAAAGCCTTTCTGATTTTCAATACAACTGTTCCGTAATTATGGTTTTGAAAGCGATCAGATTTCAGACCCAACTATAGGTCACACTTATTACTAACTCTTAACTAATTTTTTGAACAGAAAATCCATTTCAGTTAATTAATCACAAATCACTCTTGCCTAATTAGAAATAAAGAATGCCAAATGGAGCATATCTGTTAATGAGAGAAAACGTTTCACATCAGGGTAGTTTTGTTGAATAACCTATCTTACAATGAAGTTAAATATGACAATAAAAACACTGAAAAAAAAAAAAAAACACGAGAAAAATATTTTTAGATTCAGCCGTCATTGTCTACAGATATTATTATCATTACATTCATTCTTCTTTTAAACAAAAGCCAAAATTTTCACGAGCTACTAAGATGTTTGGGAGATATCACCGGGTGAGTGATTTCACGAAACTTTTACTTCACTTGTTGTCACGCTACCAAATCAGTTCTCTTCTGCTGACGGCAAAATTCTGACTAGATAATTTGATGGCATAGGATCAGTCAAGATACACTTTTATTTTTAACTATAAATGTAAATATTCATTAATTTCACCCTTTTATTTTTTCACTGATTGATAAAATAGAAAAGAGAATCACTTATCAGGACGGTTTTATTGTCAAATATCATTTTTATCATGAATCTTTAATTTTCTATAATGATGTGTTCAGTACATTCTCACATTTATCTTAATTCAGTTGAAAGGGAAAACTAAATACATTTTTTTTTTTGCAATTATACAACAATTCGAAAATGCATCTTCTAATTGAATCTATGACTTCAAAAGAAAGGAACTATAACATTAAATGAAGAAGAAAATAAACTTATTGATAAACTGCCATTATCAAACTTTAAAAAATTTGACACAATAGTAGAATTTTCTATTTCACATAAAAAGATTAAATTTCTGAGAAAATAAAATCATCACTTCATACATAAAGCATAAGAGTTTAGTTTCATAATGCATTTTGTTCAAGATTATTGAACATATAGAACATATTAATATATTTCAGTAAAAAGATTACTTCACATTATCAGTACATTTCTTTACAATGTCCTACAGAGATCTGGCTGTAGACATACATTATAACTAGATCAACATGCAAGTCTGACCATTACCCCAGTAGCAAGTGGTTTAAGTAAAATTTGATCTTGAAATCCAAAAAAGTAAATAAAAATATGTATATTACATTACTTCTAATAACTTACTAATCAAGTGCTATGTATTTGTCCTGCTTAAATGGAGTTAAAAAGAGCAGTCCATAATTTTTATTCAAAATTGTCCTAAAATTGAATACTGGTAGTAAGCAGTCTATAACATACACCAGTAATAGTTGGGTCAAATAATGGACAGATGTGAAGGCAGACTGGCCTAGCTCTTTACTAATGACTATAATGGTATAAACAAAGGTATGGTGACTGCCTATATACACTTATATAGACAGATATCACTTAAATTGCTAGTGTATGTTAGTTTCCTATCAGAAATAGATCATAATTATTATTGTTTTCTTTCAGCTG